ATAGCTTGCGTTAAAATTATATTTTGAAGCATTAGTTGTTCTGATGACGATCACTCATTCACTTTTATTGGCAGAGTCTTCTTCTTCTTCTTCGGTAAAGATTCGTATGAAACTGGTTTGTTGGAGGTCATTCAGAGCACTACCACTCCAAGAATTTTTTTGAGATCGAAAATGAATGCATAAAACTCACTACAAAGATAGCCAGTACTGATTCAATTAGAATAACAAACATATCTCTTTTTTAAAAGGAACTGCTTTAAGGATTCTCAAAACTTTTTGTATGAATCTAAATTTTTTTCTTCTGAATAAGTGACATTTTAGGAGTTTATCTGAAGCATTCTTAACTATTTAATGAATTGTTCTGTGATAATAAATACTTCACAAGAGATAGTGGAAGTTTAGAAGTTTAGGTTTTTATTCTGTTGATGACTAAGCAAATGAATCACAGTAATATAATGGACACAGATATCTTGGGTATACAGTCAATTTTTATACCAAATAAATAACAATAGACTTCTTTTAACATATCATAGTGGCTTATTATAGCTAGCTTAAAAGGTGTCAATACCTCGAGGTAAGAGAAGATAAATTTAGCACATTCATTCCTGGATAGTTATTGTTGTTGTTATTATTATTGTTATTGTAAACCAATATCAGTCATTAAACATTTTTGTTTAAATAAAATAGTGAAAAGATTAACTTGTGCGGGAAAAACTTTAATTTAAAAAAAATTTGGTCACATTTTTTTCAAACCATTTGTATGAATATTAAAGTGTCTATTATGTCCGTAAGGAATATAAGAGTGAGAAGGATAACAAGGGAAGAGAAAAATAAGCCAATAAGATTAGAATCATGCTACCCGTGGTACGACTATCAAAAACATATTTCGATTTCCAATGAAGATTTCATCATGAACCAAAATTAGTTAGAAAATCACTAAAAGCCAGGGAACACTCTACAGCCGTTTCATTGCAGTTTGAGGCTCTTCAGTAATGCTCTTCCACGACTGGTCTCCCTTCAGGGATCGGACCCGGGACCTTCAGGTTATGTGGCCTGCTCCTTGACCATCCAGCCACTTGGGCCAGCATTCGGTGATCCGTGAATCACTGAAAACCAAGGGGTACTGGACAGCTGTTTCAACGAAATCCAGATCCCTACAAAAATCCATATTCTTAATAATAAACAGGTTAATTTGGTGTGGGAAATTTGATTTTAGGCAAAAACTGTCTCAACTTAAAGATGGTGACGATTTCTACAAATATGAGTATTTACCACGGATTGCTTATACACATTACAATTAAAGCTATGTCTAATGAAATAAGCGGAACTAAGCATGGAGATGGAAGTTTACCAAAACATCACACAACCATTAACACAGATAGTCGTAGTTGTTCTTGGTGGTCTCCTAGCTCAATGAGTAGAGCTCCATACTAGTAATTCAACGACCAGTGATTTCAAGCTTACCACAATCCAGATTTCTATTCCGCCTCTAATCACCAACTGAAAGCTATTCCATTTCGTTTCACCATCAACTATTTATAACTAGTTTAGAAGAAGATTTAGGAATTTTTCGGTCAAACGATTTACAACAAGACGTTATTTACTCAGCAACAGGAAGAAAATTATGTAACAATATACACAAAGACATTTAGGAGTAAGTTAACATCGAATGATTTGGTTGAAATCACTGGACTGAAACAAATTAAAAAGATTTTCTTCTCCTAAGGAAAAGTAAAAATTAAATGTCTGAAACTCAAAGATTCCCATTCCCTTGCCAGCCCAATTAATTCGATATCTAATCGATTTGGGACTCACAGACTTATCGTAAACTGCCTTTTCAATAACACACTAAAATATGAATAGGGCAGACAACTTAATTCACATTTTTTTTCACATTATATTTCCTTCTGTAAGCACGTGAATGAATAAGATAGTGAACGGTAAAATGAATCTCCTCGATAAGCAGGAGATCTCCATTCATGTAAAAAATGAGTTGACTAGACACTTTAGAGTAGTAAAAAAGTCAAAGTGAAGAATACTTATGAGAAAAAGTGCATTCTGTTATTTGTTTTAAACAAAGGAAGTGTATATTGTGCGCCTATATTATATCAGGCAATCCATTCCATAGGCTAATACTAAATCTCTTTGCAATAAACGCTGAGGACTACAAAAGATCAGTAGATAAAATATGGGATTGTAAAAATGTAAACATACTTTTACTCTGTATAATATGTAACATCTGATAACTTTAAAGAAAGTACAAGGGCGTCTTCTTTAATTGTTCATCTTACACTAAGTCCAACAATGTTGTTATTGACTGAGATATAAAAAAACCTGTTTTTCTCTAGTTATAACCACATTGATTACAGGTGGGAAATTTTATCATAAGAGTATAATGCTTCTACTAATTACTATGAAAAACATAATGCGTGTACCTGTTTGAAATAAAACTCTAAGACTCCCATGGTGGCGACATATAAAAAGTAAGTATAACAAGTTGGCGGCTGATAAAAATCGGAATGTCACCATACTTTCTTAAATTTAAATTTACACTACCATTTTTCCATTGCCGAATAAGTTAATAATGATCACTAACAGCCTACTATCCATCCAGCTCCACTATTAATTTTTCCAGTTTGTAATTTGACTGGCTAAAACATATTGTAGCGTATTTTGTTAATCCTAGTTGACTTCTTAGCCAAATATGAATCTAATTACGTGTTGTAGTTAACCATTATTATTATATTACGTTGTCGTTCCCTTGAGTTTTAAGTGGAACAGAGGTCTTCAAAAGCACATCTCCATTTTATCCTGTTCTCTGCAGTCCTCGCCAGCTGGCCCGGCGACTGTCTATAGACTCTCATCGCCTCCTCACACGATCCCTTCCATGCCACCCTTGGACACCCTACTGGTCGCTTCACATTCGAGTTCCACTCGAGCGATGGCCTGGTGTGCGATGTCACCCGACGGTCTACTCAGCGTGTCTCCAATCCATTTCCATTTTCTTTTACACACTTCAAAATACTAAATATTCCAATAGAAAAACCCTGCCAGCTGTTTGAAATGCTTTGCTTGACGCCTAAAGTTTTTAACGCATTAAGGAAAACTGACGTAACACTGGTGTAGAAGTCTTCCTTCTTCTCTTGTTCTGAGTTGTTTGCAGGCGCATAGTATTGGATAATTGTAGCCTTCTTTCCTTTTGAGTTGAAAATTGTTGTCATAATCCTGGATGAAATTGGTTCCCACTACATAAGATCGTTGACTGCTGACAGTGACGTTATGAGAGCCACTCCCACAGTGTTCTCGTGGTTGTCGTCTGGGTGACTAGAGTAGATTACTGACTCTCAAGCTGACAGTTTGGATACTCCATATCCATTTCACCTGCTCTCACAGATCCCAAGCACTTCTATGCCATATTTCCTCATTTCTTTGGCTACTTGGGCAACATTCTCAGCTTTGTACATTGTACAAAAATTCCACATCCCCATTCTTATTCTTGCTTTCATCGACAGAAGACACGTCGTTTGACTGGCTTCCCGAAGGCTTTTACCAGCCAACATCATTCCGCCTCTCCAATTTGAGTGAAGAATAAGTTATTGTTTTATATTTTTAATACTTTTCTTGTGCAGTGAAGTTTCCGTAGACGTTTGAATGATTTCTCAAGGTAGGGCTGCTAGCCCCATTTCCCACCTACCCTCTTTTCCCGGGCTTGGGACTGGCTAGTAAACTAGGTGAGGTTATAGTTATCCATGCAAACGTTTAGTTTACGAAACATCCAAATGTATTACTCTAGACTGAAACAACCGAAAATCCAACTCTAAAGTTTACCCAAACTGCTGTATTTTCATTACCAATAATAAACAACATTTTATCCATTTCTAACTGTATTTTTGCTTATGAATCTTCTTTCTGTATTATTACTTTTTCTTTGTTGCTTGATGTGTCGTCTAGGGTATGTAACTTTGCAGTATGTAATACATGAGTATTCAACCGTAAAACTTTACAGAGATCCATTCTGTATTCTCATTTTTCCACTTCATTACCTGTTTTGATTTCAACTACTTATTTCTCTGCTTAGAACTAGTCTTCAGTTTAATTAATAAATAAATAAAATTATAGAATTACTACCAAAAATAGACTACCATGACTGAGTATACAATAACACCACCCGAAACTAAAAGATGCTGTTTGAATTTTGAATAATTTGTTTAAATGTACCAACTTCTCATAACTCATAGCTAGTCTAAACAGGTTTTCTCACCGCCTGTCTCCAGTATTCACACAAGTTTCTGTTAAATATTCAGTCGTCATTTGAATAACCCAAAAAGATGTTTAATTGTTTGATACTGTATACTAGCGATTGACTGATATGAACAACTGAATGCCACTTAGATTAACCAGTAATGATTGTTAGATGGTCTAAACACCAAACGACCATTTAGTTAGTTTTGAAACAAGGTTATCAGGGGAGTACCCAGTTTGAGTCAGCTCAAGTAGCCAAATCAATTCGATGTATTATCAGTTCTCTTAAGTAGCTAACTGAACTGATTCGGCTCTGTGAGCTGCGTCAAAACCGAGTACGCTGCTGATGAAGCTGGACACAGACTAACCGAACAGCCGTTCAGTGTTAAGATCACTTTGGTCTGTTTGGCAAGTACTACTAGTTGATGTGAGTAGTATCCAACTTCTTATATCAATCAATCAGTAGATGCAGTAACATGCATTGTTGAATGCTTTCTTCACTGTTATTTACGCTATCAAGTAGATCATATACTGTGATTTGAATAATTTCGGTTTCCAGAGGAAACTGCCGGGAACTTTCGTCTCCTCGAAATGTGTAATTCACAAACTGCCAATTTATATTCAAAAGAAAGTTTGATTTCACTTTGTGCTTATCTATTTCAGACGAGAGATTTAAGAAAATGTATATTACTAGAAAGTGATTTAGGATTTTTTTAAAATCTTTATGAATACATCTTTTTGCATATTTCCTCATGTAGTGGATGCCTACGGTGGTCGTGGTCCTATTCCACCTTTATCCAGTGCTGGATACTCAGATGACAATGCACTATTGATTATTGTAGCTGCTTGCATTTTCGGTTTTGTAATTCTTCTCGTCAATGCTGTGGTTATTATCTTTTTGATCAAACGACGTCGTCACCGAAATATGTTGCGACAGTGTAAGCCAGATCAGGGAATTACATTGGCGAATGGAGTTGCACTTACTCGTCATGATCAATCTACGACAGATATGAAACAGCATTTGCAGTCGTCGTTCATAGATCAAAATGATAATTTTGCAGATTCGGATATGAGTACAACGTGTGTTTGCTGCCCTCCTAAGAAACAAAATCTCATAAGCTCTGGTAAGTGAATTCTGTTGAATATTTAAACTTTCACAACCACTAATTTATATTTGGAATGTGTTCGCATTTACTAACGATTGTTATCAAAGTTGTGCCGTTAAAAACACGATACACCAGCAACCATCTTGGATGCTATGTAGTAGGAGATAGCAAAGATAAGCATCTACTTACTGTAGTATAAGTCAGCCTTCAATCACTGGTAGAACTAAGTCAACGTGAGGCTCCCTTCTGTGATATCATGTGGTACCATCAACCCTGAAATCTAGGTTGAAGGTCTTCTGGCAGTTGATACATTTCCACGGAATATGTGTGATTCACATCTGATTCATCTTTTGACTAACATAACTACGACTGCAAGTATATTAGTGAAATGAACACTGTGTGGTAGGGATTTGAATTTCGATGAAAGATACACTTTAAATTGAAGATTGGTGGTTGGAGGTAATCAGCAGGATGTCTTAGACTTTGATTTCATGATTACTGGAACTCGTCAGCTAGGCGTATCTGCATTCTTGAAGGAATATGTGTCCCCTCCCAGATTTGAACCCGCGTCACCTCGTGATGCAGTCAAAAAGGTTACCAGTGAGCTAGTGACTGACCACCTGTAGGAGTGTGATGGATATTTTGATTGGTCACCAGGTTGTAACCAACGGTTTGGTGCAGATTAAATTCTACCAGTCGAGTTTGTAGTGTGGTCACCAAGCTATATGGCTTGCTATCTTGGTGCACTCTGGACTGATGACAGATGGTTGGAGGCAATCGGCAGAATTACAGATGCACTTTGCTGACGAGTGCCAACAAGCACGAGACCCAGGTTTAGGGCTTCTTCCCGATTGCCTCCAACCATCTAATAACAATGATTCGGAATGAACTGTGACGGCGAGCCACCTAGCTTGGTGACCACATTACAAATTTCACTGGTAGGATTCAGTCTGCACCAAACCGAGGACTAAACCTATCACGTTGGTCATAACCTAGTGACCAGCCAAGATACCGATACACTTTGCTGGTGAATACTTGATCAGGTTGAGATCTGTTAAATAAGCCTGCTTAGGATTGTTGCTTGTCTGTACCTACAAGAGGTATCAAACAACTAACCTAGGCTTCAGTACTTGACCAATGTTAGTGATTAATAGCACCAAATTTCAATCTATTTATGATTCATTTGATCTAATATTTTATTATTGTAGTTCTACTACGACTGACGTCATAGGTGATTACACCTTATATCCTTAAGTCGTGCAATAATGATTTTGTTCTAATCCTTGGAAATCTGACATACTGAAAGTTTTTTTCTCCCTAAAATGAAATCAACTTGTTCTATTTCCTCAAAAAGGCACATTGAATTTACATAATAAACATTCAAATACAACTCTGTTCTCAATTACAGCACTACATCTATGTATGACAACTCTGACACCAATATATAATCGATTTTATTGTTCGAAGTTAAACATGTTATCCTAGAATTCAGCCATGCTTTCTATACATATAAAGAGACTCTTAAATCCTGATAATCTCTTACAACATACTGTAGATTACTACCTTACTTAAAAAAGTTGTCTATGAGTTGTAAATATTTTTCTACTAACCATGCCAACAGTTCTCTATTGAAGTGTTGGTTTTTAGGGATTTGATTGGTTTCAGGATTTTATCATGAGGTGACAATGGTTAGAGAATCACTGGAAAACCTGGGAGTACTAGATAGCTGTTTCTTCTTAGTCTGGGACTCAGAAAGCACCCAATGGGATTTGCGCTTTATCGTGAATTGGTAGAACTTGGAATTCATGGGCCATTGGATTGGGTCCCATTGGCTTAATGGTCTACGAGCTCACCTTGTAACCGGAAGGTTCTGGGTTAGGACCCCAGTAGATGCGTAGCACTGAAGAGTCCTAAACTAGGACGAGATAGAAATGTAAATTTTATGAAACGAAATTAAAAAATGTTTTTACTGAGTTGAAGTCATTTATTACACCATAATTCCTTGGAAAGACACTCTGAAATGACTTAAATTACTGATTTGAGATGTTACCAGAATCAAAAATCAACTGTGAATATGTTGCAGTTGTCTTTTATCTCATTACTTTAATTAACTTTGACTTGCGGTGGCTACTTTCTTCTATTTTTATTATCTCTTAATGTCCCGTTTATCACATATATGAAAGAGTGAATCGACTATCACACAGTATCTGTATTATCTTGTTTTTTTCTTCTATAGGTTACGTGAAAGCAGATTCATATGGTAACTTTTCTCGTACAAATGGGTATACATCTCATGATGTGTGTCCAAATCAATATTCACAACATATGGCACAAGAAGTGGATCAACAAGGACAGTTGGTGAACCATAGTATGACAAGTAGCATTCCAGATTTCAATCATTTAACTTCTAACCAAATGACATCAGTTTATCCAGTTCGTCAAATCACCTCACCAGGTCCATATTACAACAACAATACAACATTAAACTATCCAATAACTCGTCATAGTTCAACTGATCTTGGAATAGGTTATTCATCAACAAATCACGTTAATCAGATAAGATGTGAACACGGTAGCATAAAACACTCTAACCGTCATGGTCAGCATACACCAAGACAAGCGAATCAGTATCGCTACTTTGGAGTAAGTTTAATTTTTCGAGAAATGTCCCTCAACATTGATTAAGATAATAGAATTATTATTAATGACCATAAGTACAGTTACCCATGAAAATGGAAAACACCAGAATGTAGTGTAATAACTGCCGAATCACTTGAAACCACTCGAATTCCCCCTACCTACTTGGGTGGACTGGTAATACATGGAATCAAATTATCAATTCTGAAACTGCACAGTCTGAGGTGAAATTTCACCACAGTTTCCTGTAGAAACCAAACTTGTTTATTTTATAATGTGTGATCTGTTTGATACAATAAACGGTTAGCAACACACTCCTGGTTAACTAACCAATGACAACAACAACAGCACACTAATCACCATCAAAAGGAGAAATTTGAAACAGGTCACTTCTTTTACTTACCTAGGAAGCGTCGTTTCAACTACAGGCAGTAGGTATCGATGGAGATGTAAAAACCAGAATTGAAAAGGCGAATCAGTTTGGAAATCTTCTACACTCAGCATAAGGAGCAAGATTCCGATTTTCAGCACAAATGTGAAGTCAGTCACTTCTTTGATATGGGTCAGGAACTTGGCGTATCACGAAAAGCATTTCAGGAGGTCACAGAGTTTTATCACCAGTTGCTTTCAGTGGTTCCGTATTGAAGCTCAAATGTCCAAGAAGAATTAGCGACAAGAAACTCTGGGAACAAACCAACCAAGAATCTATTGCTCAACAAATATATAGAAGAAAATGGAGGTTGACTGGACAAACTCTCCGTCGGGTGACGTCGGATTCCAGGTCATCACTTGAGTGGAACTCGGATGGGAAGCGATAATTTTGGCGACCGCGGGTAACACTAAGATGGTGTGACAAGGAAATAAAAGGCAGCTTAAGAGGACTTCAGAGAACAGGAAAAAGTGAAGATGTGCTGCCGAAGACCTTTGTTCCACTCGAAATCCCAGGGAATAATAATAATAAACACTACTTGTTAGTGAATGGTATCCAACTACTGACATTAACCAATCAGTAGTATATATCATGGTGCACTGATAATTGCTTTCTTGGTAGCCATTTATGGATTCAAGCAGATCACGTATTATTCTCTACACGATTCCAGTTTCCGAAGGAGACTCTGGTGAAATCTTACTCCAATTACTCTATTATTTGCAAATTTCGAATTTGAAACTCCTAACAGGTTGTTATTTACATAAACGAATGTTTCAGAAAGTATTATACGATATTAAGAGGCTAAGTCGATAATCAGAATAAGCATAATTTGCAGCATAATGTTGACACATGAGCGCTGACCCAACAGTATTAATAAAATGTCTACTTGTTCGTGTAGAACCTGTGCATTGTGTTAGAATGTAATTCCATATTTGAAATAAACTTATCTAATATGGCATTTTTACTGGTCGTTTTTTCAAAGTACCCGATTCCAGTTAAATACCATTTGTCCTTCTACTCATTTGTATAGATATTAACTTATGTCAGGATAAAAATTCACACACTTTTCTTCGAAATTTGAAAGAGACTTCTTTGACGAGTCCTTGAGTCAGCTGGGACCATAGAGTACCCACATTGTTTCTCAAATAAGTTTATGAAAATTTTACTTGAATAGAATATTTGCAAGTAGAATTTATTCGTAGCTGGATATATATTCATTGACCATTGTATTAAACGTTATTGCTTCTGAAAACTAGTCTGTAATATGAGAAGATTTTTAGAATCAAATGAAGTACTCTAACCTATAAACAGACTAGTAAATGTTTCATGAAGTGAACTGAACAATGGTATAAATCTGTTTTAGATCATGGTGACTAACAGTGGAATCCAGGAAGCACATTTCAACCTGCTTCAGACTCATAAAATGGATGTTTCCGCCTCGCCCGTGACAGACAGTGTTTCGAACGGAGAGTGGGTCACTGTAGAGGCAGGTAGGTGCAGATGATGAGTCTTAAATAGGACGAAATTAGCTTCCTAGATTCCATCATCATCAACCAAAATGACATCATGTTAGTCTTTAGACATCGTTGCAGCCACCGCAATGAGAGACGAAACGTCAACGGCAACTGAGCACCTCCGTCAACCGGAAATTTCTTACTGCTTTTTTTAAATGTTTTTTTAATTATTTTAGATAAATATTGACTGTTTACTTAATATTTTTTCTTTCTTGTTTTTCTTTTTTCTCTCTACTTGTTGTCTCATTGTTGTAAAAATTATTTGTTGTGCATTTTCATTTTGTTTAATAAACTAAGACTCTTCAAAACCCCAGCACATATAATAAAATAATGAATAATAAATCTGTAGTTGATAACAGTAATATAAATGGACGTACATCACAATACACTTTAGCTACTTCAACAACCTCTTGTGGTAATCCAATAACAGTAGGTCATAATGGATTAGGTTTAACTCTAGTGAATAATTCATTCCAGCTACCTACAGGCTCATCTGCTTCTCAAAATGTGGAACCAAATCAAACGGCGCTGTTAGCTGATAGTTCTACAGAAATTCTATCTACAGGACTAGCTGCGTTTACACAAATTAAACGAAAGTCTGAATTTAATGATATAAACGAAAGAAGTAATCTAAACAATGGCTTTATCAGCCAAAACAATCTACCTGGTAATAGTTCACCAATAGTTTCTATAAAAGTGACCTCATTAGCAGATCAATTTAATCCGAATTCAATAGATTTAGGAACAAATTTAGCAACATTTTCATACAATACACCATTTGATTGTAATATGGACACATCTTGTACACCTATATTCTTATCCCTAGATCCGAGTGCATCTAATTCCTTGTTAATGTCAAATTCATTGATGAACTGTCCTATAGATAACACTAAAGTCCTTGAAGTGAATAGAGAAGTATCTGTTACACCTTTGATGATTCATTCACCAACCCCAGATCATGTTCTAGTTTCAAATTATGTCCCGGTGCAACACATTTAATCCACTCTGATTTCTTTCCTTGTATGTTATCTCCCCTTAAGTTTTATACTTGTATTGCATGCATAATCAATGTGTTGTATAATATAAATTTACTCAGAATTTCATTTATTAGCTTTGTATCGCATCCTATTTTCTTCTTATCCTCCAAGACAAGACCTAACCTTGGAGGTACACGTTATTTTTATTCATCTCGAGAAGCTATTCATTCGAATATATCTCGACAGAATATACCTCACTTTGAAAGTCGTTTGAGTATGAACAATCTTCCTCATGCAATTTCTAGTGAATTATACAATCGTCAAAATCAGTGTAGCTGTGAACAACAATTTCATGCCCAACAGCAACACATTCCATCTCATAAACGAATACCTTACTCTTGTAGTAATTGTCTAAAGTCAAGATCAAGTTTACATAATATTAAACAGCCATTTTACCCATCGAATGCTCAAAATTCTGTCATAGGTAAGTTATACTCAGTGGATTAACATAAGTCATAAATTTTTAGTATTTTTAAAGTGTAAATAAAAAATCCACATAGTTAATGACAACAGCTTAGTGTATACATTTATAAAATTATATTTGTAAAATCTCAGCGAAATTGAAATGATTAATTCCAACGTTTCGTTCGGCAATCTGGTCCGAACTTCTTCAGGGAAATTAATCGAATTAAAATAAACAAGTTCGGACCAGATTGCCGAACGAAACGTTGGAATTAATCATTTCAATTTCGCTGAGATGTTACAAATATAATTTTATAAGTGTCTACTTCTCACTCAGCGCTCAATTATTTTGCAACTATCCGGTCAAATCTTCATCACAGTTCATATGAAGCTTAGTGTATAGGTTAAAATTTAGCCACAGTAGTGATATCTGAGGCTCCCCTTCATAAATGCAGAGTTTCATGGAATATGTTATTCCATTGCGTTACCAATGGAACGTAAGGTTTCAAGCTAGAGGCTTGGAGTTCCGGGTTAGGGTTGATAGCCTCATGCTCAACCTTCCCTTCTTACCAATCATATTACTGACTTAGAGAGGTACAGGATTGCGCCAGCCGGGGGTCGAACCCCGGGCCACGTGAGTGGCTGGCGCGCATTCCACTGCTGTGCCACCGACGCACTTCATGGGACATATAATTCTACAAATAATCTGGTGACTATCACGAAACATTATCCATTATCAAGATATGTCGTTATCTTTCAACAGTTGATTTGTGAAATTCCAAAGCTTTAAGTTAGGATATGTTTGACACACTCTTTTCTAGTACTATAGCTGAACAAAAAAGGATGCTTCATATTAAAATTTTTACGAAAGACTTCCAGATAAATGACAAAATCACTTCTGTTTGAAGTAAAACTGAAACTAAATTTCACAGCTCTTTCAGTAAATAACGAGTAGTTGAATTTTGGCTATATTTTTAGAGATGAATTTAACTTATGCTAGTAGAAAAATGTTGGTGTTTCAAAGTTATAGATTATACAATTTAACAATCGCATCGTTTAGTGTGAAGATCAATATGACCTCATGAAGGCCTTGATTATTGGATTATCTTCCCAAATGCTCACTAGCGTAATAAAATGAAGTGGTAAAAGCTAATATAAACAAAGGGATATATATAGACTGAATAACAGATGTAGCAAGAAAGAACTAGACTGATCAGACTAAAACCTGTTAAAAGTGGCATAAACTTTTCTGCAGACATTGTTTGTTAAAATAAAATAGTTTTGAATTCATTAAGCTTTTAGTAGCATATATTTACATATATGTAGTCATGAAATAAGAAATTTTCAGAGTTCAGTGTATTTACAGTGTTTAAATTATCAAATATCCTCAGAAGTAACATTAGGACGTTTAATAAAGCAGTTGGTGAGGGCAGTTGGAACATTGTCTTCATTAATTTTCCTTGCATCCTAATCTGGATAAACTCCAAGCTCCAATTGGAGAATGAACTAAAAATGGAATGTCACTCAAACATCACTGACAATTCCATTCAGCTGGTTGTGAGCCACTGGATGCCAGAACCTTGTCAGACGAAGTGGGTTTCGAACCGGTGACCCACTGGTTGGAAGTCGAGTACATGAACCACTGATTCCCATCTCAAAATAAATCTGCTAACAGTTTAAACTGATATACGGTTCGTCTTTCCGGAGTTACGATCCTAAGTTACACTGACAACTATTATAAATATTCTCCCTCGTACTTATAAAGCAAATAATGCCATAACTATGATGTATCTCCGTAGCTACTTTGATGTTTTAAGTCGTTCGAAAAGTATTTTAACTACATGAATTAAATATAAAGAACATTTTAGGCGTACATTTAACCATATTATAAGATATGAAGTCAAATACGCGTTTAGTTTGATGATTTTGTTATTGCAATTAATCGAGTCATTGCTTCTATGTGGCTCAGAGACTTAGCGCTCGCGTCACGAAAAGCATTTCCAACAGGACCCTGCAAACTTTCATCATCAGCTGCCTTTAATCAATACCAAAGATCAGATGGCCAGAAAGGATAAGCCATAAGAGACTGTGATAGTGAACCAACCAAGAACCTGTCGACCAACAGATATTCTGAAGGAAAACGAATTCCATTGGACATACACTTAGGAGACCGTTAAGTGACATTGCTCTCCAGGCTCTCAAGTAGAGCCCAAATGAGAAGCGACCAGTTGGGTACAGTTGGAGGGTGACATGGATGAAAAACGAAAGCTCATGGTCAATCGTCGAAGCAGCCTAGAAAGACTGCAGAGAACGGAGTGAAATGGCAATACGCTGTTGAAGCCCTATGTTCCAATCGAAACCTATGTTATGCTATTTCTGCATAAGGTTATAGTCGAATTTATCGCTCCAAATTAGAAATACAAGTTAGAAAAACTTGACGCATGTGTTAATGAAGTGGAATATTGATTGTAGACAAGAGAAGCAACAGAAACTGACAGCCTGATTCGCATAGAATTGAAGTTAAAAGAGAGAAAATTAATTTTTACTAGGGGTTTCAGAAAGCAAAATTATTAAGTATGTTTCTTTACTATATAAAACCATTTGTTGTATTCTAAGTTCATTCTTAAAACTATCCGTGGTCACCTGTTAGTCGATTATAATATCCAACATCAGTTCACCTTTCACCTTCTGTTGATTTTAGATACTTTTTCCGAAGAGGATAAGGATTCAGATCGTAGCCGCTATGCAGAACAACTGAGGCGCATTCAGTACAGTGGGGGACCGACCGCTCAGGTTTGTTTCACATTTGAACACTTGATTAAATGGTTTATCGCAATTTTAGTTTGAAGTTCAGTTATTGCAGTTTACCCTGAAGAAAGCTACTAGACAGTCAACAGTTGTGAATAGGTGGAATTTGTCTGAATAATTACAAGCGTTATTTGGATCTGTGTTCCAACCAAATAGTGATCACTAATAATAAAGTCTCGCGAACCAATTGCCTGTTCTTTTAAGGAATCAAACATTTTAAACTTCTGATTAGCATTCAGAAATTATTCCACTCTTGAAAACAGAACTAATTTGTCTTTTGAAAACTTGCCAAGATGCCGCTGGTCAGTTGGCTATGCTTGACTACAAGAAACAGACCCGGTTCTTATCAAACTTTTCTTTGTGGTTCCAAATTTTGATCAAAATCTCTTGCCTTTATTAAACTCGGCAACATAACACTGACATTAACGTTTTTCTCATGGTATAAAACAACGATTGAAATTCTAATAGTCAATAACATTTCCACCACGTCAAGTATTCTACCCAATTACTTACTCTTCAAGACATATTCTAAATCCCTCAGTAATTAAATTATTTCCGTTTCAATCCATTCCCTAGAGGAAACAAACATAAGTAGTAAGTACCGGTTTCGCCATTATTTTTAGACAGGCGTTCACTGAAATTTAAGCATAACTGGAAGTATGTAGTTGATGACTCATGCCTGGTAAACATTTTTTCCATTTGATTTGATTACCAATTATACTACTGTTTACTGTTAAGTAATATAATTTGATTGATCCCAAATTTTGTACGGCAAGAACTTACCAAACATTACGACAAAAAACTTGATTGGAAATGAAAATGCTTTATGCATCTATCTTAAAATTGAATGGAAAAATGCGCACATTTATTCCTTATTATCAGGAATCTTAATAGTTCAGAAGTGAAACGATTCATTATTTAATAGTGTTATATTCTTATCTCCAAGAAACCACGTTTACCCATCACAGAAAGAAAACACTATTTTTCTTATTCTTTTGTGTTCCCAGCTTCATGCTAGAGCTTAGAAGTTTCAGTAGCTGTATTCACGGAATAACGTTGCCATCCTAATGCCTGATCTTCCCTCTCACTGCGCTTACTACCGGCTGGACAAGCTAAAGGAGAGGGCTGGCCGGGGATCGAACTCCTGACCACCTGCGTGGCCTGCCAAAGTTCTACCAATGAACCAGCGATGTGGAAAGAAGGATTATGATCCTTATATATAGTCAGTGAATAGATTCTTGTACATGAAGAATCATCCACTTCGCAAAGAGATTATATACCATATCCATGATATTTCATTATTTTATAACTCTAAAAAGAAGCCTACAAACAAAATCCACGTTTTTAGAATCAGTTTACACTGTCACAAATCCTACTTCACTGGAACTATCAGGAAAGTTATTAGTTATGTAAGTAATATCTGTCAATTAAGTAATTGGTGATCCAGTGATAGAATCCTCACCCACCGCGCCTCACGTAGTCGAGGTTCGATTCCTGGCCGACGTACCTCTAAACCGATAATCCTGTAGTGAGCCCGGAAAAGTGGGAGGGCTGGACATGAGGCCAGCAATCCCACCCTTTAAAAATAAAACTACTGCAACTGAAACTTCATAGCTGAAGCCTACCTTGAATGCTGAGAAATAAAAAGATTAGTCCAAAATATCTGATTGCAATACTGATGGTAAAGTTTCAATCCACTGATAAGATGCGAACTCCACTCAATATCTTTCTAGTCCCCCAAGTGGTTAACCGAATTTCAGGTGATTTTAACTGATTCAATTCTCTAAACTGAGTCCAACCGAGTACATCACTGTGCAGCACGTTCACAAACGAGAGAAATGGCCATCGACCGTTTAGATCACTTCGATATTTCTACTACGCACTGCTGGTTGATGCGATTAGTATAGAGCTACTCATATCAATCAATGAATTTATACTTCTTTCATGATTGCCATTTATGGAATCTAATACCCTGCAATGATTTTCAGGTCAAATGCATAGGTCAAAGTAGTAGAACAGGGGCAGTCAGACTAGCCGAGCATAAAAACCTAGCAAAATCTAGATTGGTTGACCCGAATAAAATGAGAAATCTAGAGAAGAGTTCAGCTATAGCACTACATGCAATTACACACAACCATACAATAGGACGGGAGGGATAAGATGACAGTTTTAAAATCTAATGTAACAGGGTGGAGGGAGAGATTGATAACAGAAGCTTTGTTTATCGAATCAACTGCAAATACATGTAGCAGGAATGATTCAACTCCTGTCCCAGATATATGGAAAATTCTGCTACCCCTACGACAAATAGAAGAGAACAAAGATAACTATAAAACTCAAGTTTCGAAGTCGTGTGATAACAATTGATATGATTATGAACAATAAATTTTGTTCGAAACTGTGTCATCCAGTAAATAATACTGTTTCACTGTGTGATACATCTAACAAACAAAATAATATGGAATTACCTAACAATTTTGGTTTCCAAAGGAAACTTAGGTAAATTCTCAGCAAAGTTAAATAATGGTGATGCTGTGGTGCGAACGCATATTGAAAACACCTGTCGATTTCAAAAGGTAAATTCGGGTCGCCTAATCAACCCTTACTTTAATCTTTTCCCCGCTACCCTTAATCTATCTCTTACCTAAACCCAACTCTCATCTTTTCCTGAACCCACCCTCATCATCAACTCTAATCTTCCTATGACATCAACCTACTCCAAACCTTTTCCCACTTAAACGTAAACCCTAACGTTTCCCTAACTTAATCTTTAACTAATCAGATACCTTGTCTAATATTCTCACAATGTTTCCATCAATTTTCTACGAACAGAGCATCTTCCACCTGCTTCAACTGATCTCATCTGTGTTGCATTTCAAGGTCATTGGTGTGTTCGCATTTCTGAATCGCTACTCCTTAACTTATGTGGATTTTCACCACGAATAAATTCGCCAGTTACAAATTTGATAAAATGTAGGACAATTTCGAAAGTGTAAGTTTAAGTGGCATTTGAAATTTATGAAATTGAAACTGAATAATTTGCATAAGATGGATCCTTCAATGAATTATTCAATAATTTACTTATTTCTTTTCTGGTTTCCAGCTTCTTTTAGGCAATGTAAATATACCAAATTGTCATTCAAGTCCTGATTCAGCCTTGTCACCTGATAATGAAGCAAACGGTTTAACTGAACTTGACCCATGTCTACCAAAATCAAATCAAAGCAATCATCGAAGTGAGAATAATCATTGTATCTCTAATACTAATCGATTTACTCCATCTGAGCATACATTGAAGAAAAAGAAACTGACCACATCGAAACTCATGTATCAAAATCGACAACAAAATAATCATGCAAGCGAATATCAACCAACTTCCACGGATTCATCTGTAATTCCAAAAGTAGATGACAATGAGATTAACTCAGTGCATTTGTCTGACTGTTTTGTTTAATTTATTCTCCTCTTATCTTTTCTCCTTGTACTATTAATTTTGTTTTTTTTATTATCTCTCCAGTTGATCTGTTGAGATTGATGTTTCCGGTTGATCAGTTGTGAATGATAATCAAAACACAAATACAAAAAAACATCTCGCCTATCCTGGAAATACAAAAATGAGCACAAATCTTTGTTTTCTTCCAAGTTCCTTCACACTTTAAAAAAATATATATCTCTTTTAATCAAACAAACATTCTGCTGATTTATTCTTAATTTAACATTCCTCTTATAATTATGTCACTTTTACAAATGTATACAATATAGACAGTTGAGTATAGAACTGAAACACGAGTAATGTTAAGCTTTTTCTTCTTTTCAAATTCACCACTACACTAATTGTATTATGTAAAGTTCACATTTCTCCAGCTACGTTTTCATTCAGATAAGGAGTATCTTCCCCTCCTTTTTTGTAGTTTATGAATATGTGACAACCAACCTTTTTCTGTTCCAAGAAATATTCAGCAGATAAAAGAAAAAAATGTAGAATTCCATTGTCAGTAAGTTGAATGTTAGCTGAAGGGATCTAAACAATATATATATGTATACTGCTCAGTTAAATTACTCAATGTTATTCATAGTGATATAAATATTCGATTGTGAAATTCTTCTTTTACACAAACAATAAACTATTTTGTTTTCTATCAACTATTATGTTCTCAATATTCAATTTATTGGTTGGTGGATTTCATCATGAGCTGACATCAGTTAGAGAATCACTGGAAAACCTGGGAGTACTAGACAGCTGTTTTGTCCTGGTCTTGGACTCCTCAGCAGTATGCACTTCGCCATCGGGGTTTGAACCCAGGAACTTCTGGTTACAGGACTAGTTAGCTCGTAGACCATTAAGCCACTGGGACCCATGAATTCCAACTTATGCCAGTTCACGACATAGCGCGACCACTTAGCAATGTATTCTTCGGTGAGTTACTGCCTCACCTTCAGCCTGCTGTATCCTACTGGTCACGGCTTCCCACTGGAACCCCAGGTTAACTGCCTGAGTGGGGCCAGTCGCTAGTGACCATCAGATTAATTTTCAAGGGATTTTCTTTTGTTTGATTGGTTGGAAGATTTCATCATGAACTGACACCAATACTGTGTCAGATTACTAGATTCATAGACTTCTACTTTCACTTTCCTGCATATGCGAAGGGATAGTTACGTTATTGACTCAGTAATAATAAAATAACTGCTGCAATGGTATGTGACCAGACGGTAAGCAATGTCATGTTTGACTTGGTCCACTACTTCTAGTCTTATGACCAGGATATTCATCAATAAGACATATTTTCTTTGGTTCTAGTTTTCTGGATGTATTTAGAACGAAGTCCTTCATACCTGGTGTGTTTTACTGATAATGTCTTGTGAAATAAAGTTTGAAGGTAATCCCGTTCAAAGGAGCAACATCTTCTTATTACTGACTAACTTTAAGACGGATTTCCTTGTGGTGCTCAGTGGGAAATATGAAGATGGCTGTAAAGGCAGAGACTAACTGATGACATTCGGAGGTGTTTATGACACGATACTTTGAAATAGCAAATGAGAATCATAAGTCATTAGATTCTTATTGGCTGAATGAATCGTTCCACGCTTACTTCAGTAGTAGCAGTGGTAGACATCCATAATTTAACATTATACTCAATAACTCAGACAGTGTTCTTTGATACATAACAACAATCGCCCACAATAAGTAAGACATACTGACACTAAAACATATTCCAAATAAGCTGAAACAGAATATTTAAAGTTCATCAAAATGAGGCTGTCAGTTATCCTTAAAAAATTATGTAATATTTGGCGTACCTTTGTATTCTCACTAATATATGACTGTTGAAAACGCGTTCAGTAGTTGTTTTTTATTCCTTTACGTTCCTAGTGGAACATAGGGCTTCAAGTTAGAGGCTTGAAGTTTCGATAGCAGCGGTGTTTATTTTTACGGAAGAGGGGTTGCTAGCCTCATGACCAACCTTCCCTCTTTACCAATCTTATTAGTGGCCTAGAGAGGTAAAGGAATGCGTCAACTGCGGATCAAACCTCGGACCACATGAGGCGTGGTTGGCGAGCACTATACCGCTGTGCCACCGAAGCACACAGGTTATGCAATGACTATTCAACGTGCTAGTCAGAAAAAACAAGCTCTTAGTACCAAATATGACTCTTTGAATGACATTGAAAATGCAGCCAACAAAACTTGAAGCCACTAAAACTATCACAGGTGCTGAAAGATGATAACCTTAGAACAACGTGAATATATCTGCTTCTTATAGTGAGATGTCACTTGAATTTTTACATCCTGATAATCATATTCAAAAATATCCCAAGAATGACCTAGTTGCTCAACTTTCTTGTTATTCTTTAGGTTTTTTTAAATAACACTTTTGAAGAAGATGCATAGTGACGACATGGCACTGCTAAACGAAGAGTGGATAAGTAATTCCCTGGCGCCTGGTTCAGAGTGATCAGGAATGGTATGAATCTAGGTGGAGGCTGTACACTGCCTCTCAGTGGATTGAAACTAGAGACGAACCGTAATTGAGTGAGCTTGAGTGTGTAGCTTTTGTTTGTGTGGAGACCCCACAGCCCTCCCTTTTTCCACTATTGCTATTAACGATTTTTGTTTTACATTTTTATGTTACTACTATTCTCATAACTATAAGTATCATAAAGTTCTTTCAGTAATTTCCTCCTACTATGTGATTTAAACAGAACATTGGATGCAATATTGTTCTACACGTTAAGAGTTCCACAATGCATCAGAAGTATTGTTTGGAATAAAGTCATTATCACGATTACTACTTCGTTCATTTCTCATCACTACAGTTTCAACTGCTTTGCAGACGTGGGAGGTGTACATAAACGCATTTATTCTTCATGGTGAATTGAAGAAATATCAAGCTGATATGATTATAAGCAGCAATGAATTGTGCTTGAAACGTCATCAGTAAATATTAGTGTATAACACTGTGAGACTTTATCAAAATAAAATTTTACCCATAATCGAATTATACTCTATCACAGTGAGCAAGTTTTATTCTTATACCAGTAGCCATGAAGCAGTCAGCTAGTAGTGAAAATAAAATTCCCAACAGTTAATTTAAGCCACGTAGGAAGGTGTACACTTCCTGGATGGAGTCCTCGGGATGAAACAATTGGTGATATGGCGCAAAATTGTTCTCACTGCCACAGATGTATTCAGTCTTTGTTATTTGTTATATCCAGTGTAACTCTATTGTTCTTCTAAATCACTATTCTTTTTCTGTTTATTATCTCTCTTTACTTTCTTCTCTCGATTTGTGTGGTACATGTAGTGTGGCAACTTGAACTGCTGCACACCTGTGCGAAGTCCTATGTTGAAACCAGTCAGTTAGTCATCCAAATAAAATCACTGAGCTAAAGACAATTTCTGCGTCGGTGGCACAGAGGTAGAATGCTCGCCAACCACGCCTCATGTGGTCCGGGGTTCAATCCTAGGCCGACACACTCCTTTACCTCGTTAAGCCAGTAATAAGACTCATAGAGAGGGAAAGTTGGTCCTGAGGCTAGCAACCCTATCCCGTAAAAATAAACGCCACTGCTAATGAACTTTCAAGCCTCTAACTTGAAGCCCTATATTCCACTGGGAACGTACAGGAATAAAATAATAATGATAAAAAGTAAAGGCAATTTAGATATCTACCCCCTGTGGGGTTATACGAGAGTGCTATTAAAAAGTCCTAAAATGGGACGAAATAGCTGTCCAATACTCTTTAGGTTTCAATGCCTGTCTGACTGACATCAATCAATCCGTAGTCAAACTTGAAACTAATCAAGTCTCAAAAAACTAAATCTTGAATATTTTAGATAATTTTAGTAATAGCTTCGACTGTTCAAGTCCCCTGGTGTTCTGTAATAACCATCACCTTTTCACTTAATGAACATGTAAATTTTGTTAATTTTTGACACAATGATTCAAATTTTGTTTCAAATGGAAAGACTTCTTTCCTACAATTATATTGATTTGAATTACACTCAACTAATTCATACAGTATACTCATTGGATAACGTAGTATGTTTAAAAACAATATCCTATTTCATATTTAAGAAAAGAGTCAGTGAATACAAATACTAATCTATATTTCTTCTTAGACACCCATTGGTACTATTCATAGTTATAGTACAGGTAAGAAGTCATCAAAACAAAGCCCAAAACTAAATCAAAATTAAAACACTGGTGTTCTTCTTCTAAAAAATGGTTCTACAATTAATTCAATTTGTTCTTTTTTCGTTTTTAACATGCTAAGAGTAGCTTCTTTATTTTTATTTATCCATGATTCGCCATCAAGACAAGCAGCATCTGCAATTTTCTATAAATGCCAAAACAAAAAAGAAATAAACACAATCAAGAATTAAACAGGAGAAGTAGCAGTGAACATTTTGAATTCATTGTAGCTTTTGCATATGATGACTGAGGATATGTGCCACAAGATAAGATATTCTTTGTGGAGTTGAAGGTATCCTGAAGTATAGCGTTGTCACAAAATTTCGTTATTTTGAAAAATGTTCTAATGTCTAAGACAAATGAGTAGTTGAGTCATTCTCTAACGGTTATTTTTTCGCTTCATGTTTCATTTAATTACCCCTTGAAATCCTAATTTTCACTGCTTGCTGAATATCCTTCAACAGGACATTAGCTATTCAACAATGAACAGTCAGATACAAGTAATTACCAGACACTAATCCTTTTCATCAGTCCAGACACTAGCAGCACAAAACTGGTGAAAAAAGATTAGAGTATGCTAGATACTGTGACTAGTAATATAATCGCCATAAATAATTACCTACATATACATATACGAGAATCGGGAAGGCGAGAAACAAATTCATCGACCTGAAACCAATCTAGAAGTCTTCGTCACTCTGCATCAACAACAAAATTCGGATTTTCAATACAAGCGTCAAGTCAGTTTTGCTATATGGATCAGAAACTTG